TCACGATGTAACTATTGAGTCTGTCATATGGTGGTTCTATATCCAACCAGGAAGAAAAATATAGCCTGGTCAGGGACCTAGATGTATTAATTGGCATGCAAAAGGTTAGGGGGTGGTGGCTTCTCTGAGCCAAAAGGTTCTATTATATTGACAACCCAATGCTCAATTGTTGATAGGAGGAGGAAGCAGAGTGTGGAGCTCATCAGCGTGCTGCTGCTTTTCCATTGGTCTGTCAGCAGGTTGATGATAAAAAAAATGCTTGTTCAGAGACCTAGCTGTGTTATTTGGCATGTAAAAGGTAAGTAAGGTGGCTTTGGTATGTAAAAGGTACGTTTGGTGGCTCCTTTGAGCCAATATGGTTCTATTGTGTTGACAGCTCAATACTTAACACTTGCTGATAGGAGAAGCGAGCAGAGTGTTGACCTCATCAGTTTGTTGCTGCTTCTCCATTGGTCTATCAGCAGGTTGGTGACTTAAAAAAGCCTGGTCAAGGACCTATCTGTGTTTATTTGGCTTGTGAAAGGTAAGTGTGGTGGCTTCTCTGAGCCAATAAGGTACTTTTGTGTTGACAGCCCAATACTTCACACTTGCTGATAGGGGAGGGAGCAGAGTGTTGACCTCATCAGTATGTTGCTGCTTCTCCATTGGTCTATCAACAGGTTGGTGGCCAAAAAAAAAATCCTGGTCAGTGACCTAGCTGTATTATTTGGCATGTAAAAGGTAAGTATGGTGGCTTCTCTGAGCCAAGAAGGTTCTATTGTGTTGACAGCCCAAATACTTAACACTTACTGATAGGAGGAGTGAGCAGAGTGTTGACCTCATCAGTTGTTACTACTTCTCTGTTGATCTGTCAGCAGGTTGGTGATTACAAAAGCCTGGCCAGAGACCTAGTTGTGTTATTTGGCATGTAAAAGGTAAGTAAGGTAGCTTTGGCATGGAAAAGGTAAGTGTGGTGGCTCCTCTGAGCCAATAAGGTTCTATTGTGTTGACAGCCCAATACTTAACACTTGCTGATAGGAGAAGCGAGCAGAGTGTTGACCTCATCAGTTTGTTGCTGCTTCTCCACTGGTCTATCAGCAGGTTGGTGACTTAAAAAAGCCTGGTCAAGGACCTATCTGTGTTATTTGGCTTGTGAAAGGTAAGTGTGGTGGCTTCTCTGAGCCAAGAAGGTTCTATTGTGTTGACAGCCCAATACGTAACACTTGCTGATAGGAGGAGTGAGCAGAGTGTTGACCTCATCAGTTTGTTGCTGCTTCTCTGTTGATCTGTCAGCAGGTTGGTGATTTAAAAAAGCCTGTTCACAGACCTAGCTGTATTATTTGGCATGTAAAAGGTAGAAAGGTGGCTTTGGTATATAAAAGGTAAGTGTGATGGCTCCTCTGAACCAATAAGGTTCTATTGTGTTGACAGCCCAATACTTAACACACTTACTGATAGGAGGTTCGTGCCAAGTGTTGACTTCATCAGTTAGTTTCTGCTTCTCATTGGTCTATCAGCAGGTTGGTGACCAAAAAAAAGCCTGGTCAGGTACCTAGCTGTATTATTTGACATGTAAAAGGTAAGTGTGGTGACTTCTGTGAGCCAAGAAGGTTCTTTTGTGTTGACAGCCCAATACTTAACACTTGCTGATAGGAGGTGCAAGCCAAGTGTTGACCTCATCAGTGTGCTGCTGCTTCTTCGTTGGTCTATCAGCAGTTTGGTAACCAAAAATGGCCGGATCAGTGACCTAGCTGCGTTATTTGACATGTAGAAGGTAAGCGTGGTGGCTTTGGCATGTAAAAGGTAAGTGTGTGGTGACTTCTCTGAGCCAAAAAGGTTCTATTGTGTTGACAGCCCAATACTAAACACTTGCTGATAGGAGGAGCAAGCCAAGTGTAAACCTCATCAGTTTGCTGCTGTTTCTCTGTTGGTCTATCAGCAGGTTGGTGACCAAAAAAAAAAGGCCGGGTCAGGGACCTAGCTGTGTTATTTGGCATGTAATAGGTAAGCGTGGTGGCTGTGGCATATGAAAGGTAAATGTGGTGGCTTCTCTAAGGCTTGGTCAGTGACCTAGCTGTGTTTATTTGGCACGTAGAAGGTAAGCGTGGTGGCTTTGGCATGTGAAAGGTAAATGTGGTGGCTTTTCGAAGGCCGGGTCAGTGACCTAGCTGTGTTATTTGGCATGTAGAAGGTAAGCGTGGTGGCTTTGGCATGTGAAAGGTAAATGTGGTGGCTTCTCTAAGACCAGGTCAGTGACCTAGCTGTGTTATTTGGCATGTAGAAGGTAAGCGTAGAGACTTTGGCATGTGAAAGGTAAATGTGGTGGCTTCTCTAAGGCTGGGTCAGTGACCTAACTGTGTTATTTGGCATGTAGAAGGTAAGCGTGGTGGCTTTGGCATGTGAAAGGTAAATGTGGTGGCTTCTCTAAGCCAATAAGTTTCTATTGTGTTGACAGCCCAATACTGAACACTTGCTGATAGGAGGAGCAAGCCAAGTGTAAACCTCATCAGTGTGCTGCTGCTTCTCTGTTGGTCTATCAGCAGGTTGGTGACCAAAAAAGGCCGGATCTGTGACCTAGCTGTGTTATTTGGCATGTAGAAGGTAAGCATGGTGGCTTTGGCATTTGAAAGGTAAATGTGGTGGCTTCTCTAAGGCCAGGGCAGTGACCTAGCTGTGTTATTTGGCATGTACAAGGTAAGCATGGTGGCTTTGGCATTTGAAAGGTAAATGTGGTGGCTTCTCTAAGCCAATAAGTTTCTATTGTGTTGACAGTTCAATATCGAAACATTTCCTGATAGGAGGAGCAAGCAGAGTGTTGACCTCATCAGTGTGCTCCTGCTTCTTTCTTGGTCTATCAGCAGGTTGGTGACAGAAGAAAGCAAAGAAATTAGCCGTGTTATTTGACATGTAAAGAGTAAATGTTGGTGGCTTTGGAATGCAAAAAGGTATGTGTGGTGGCTTCTCCGAGCTAATAAGGTCCTATTGTTTTGACAGTGCAGAACAATATTGCACGAGTAGTACTATGTCCTTCAGTCAATTAGATCAGAAAGATCAGGAATTGCTGACAATACAGAGCTACGGAACATATTGGGAACTCTTAACAATACCACTTACTCCTTTTGTACTGTTAAATAGGAATCCACTTTAAATAAAAGATGGCTGCCTGCAGATGACAGGTCCTCTTGACTACGTCTGCTGCAGGTGTGCAGTGTATCACCGCTTGTTAGAGCATTGCTGCAAGTGAGCTGCAGGTGTCCCGCCGTCCCGCGGAGTTATAAATACCCCCCCACCGCTAAAAGCCTGCCGAGCCTGCCATAACGGCAGCCCCCCTCGGCGCTGGCAACCTGCGGGGTATTGTGTGCTTACAGCCCATTCAGAGGCAAGATACAGCTCAACAGAGCATTGCTTAATTAATTTTTCATTGCTCCAGACTGCAGTACGTTGCTTCATTTGACGCTTAACTGCTAAAGCCCTCGATATCGCGTCACTCCATTGACTGTTTGCTGCAATAGACCTGCGGGGGTAACTGTGCTACTTGCAGAGAAGCAAAATCTATTGTATCGCCACCGCGCCACCTGAAAAGGCACATCTCACCTCTGGAGGAAGCGGCATTTATGTCTACAAGAGGGCTTTATTTACTGCCACTCCGCTGTATTATTCCCAAAAATTGCCGGGGTGGAGACAGAACAAAGATTTTCCGCACTCTTTCTGTTCTGGTGACACCAAGAACATTCCGGATAACTGCTGTCTGCAAACATGAGAAGCTGGCAGAGGAGGAGGAGGAGAGTATTACTTAAAAAAGGATAATAGGACTGAATTCTTCTTTCTGTATTGCTATTTTCGCCTCAATGTTCTCAAGGCCAAGCTGCTACAGAGCACATCAGTACAGAGCGATGGGAGTAGACTGTAGCAAATGCATGTAGAGCGCAGGTGCAGAAACTTCCAAGGTCTAAATACGTAAAAGTTTGGCCTCATCTGTTATAGGCTGATTGTCCAATCTTCTTTAGGCCGGCCATACATGTCAGTTAGACAATGGTTCTGGATGTATAGGTCATTTAGGTCTTTGTTAGGTTCAGGGGCGGACTGACAACTCATGGGGCCCCCGGGCAATAGGGGATCATGGGGGCCCCTGTGTCCTTGCCCAAACTAAAAAAAGCCTATGAAAAATGTACCAGGGCATCTCATGGGGCCCCCTACTGACCCCGGGCCCTCGGGCAGTGCCCGAGTTTCCAAAATGGTCAGTCCGCCCCTGGTTAGGTTTATATACCTATACCGTATACCGTATTTTTCACTCCATAAGACGCACTTTTTTGAAAATGTCAGTGCGTCTTATGGAGCGAATATGGAGCGGCTGGTCCGGTATTTCTGCCGCCGCCACCATGTCAGAGAATACCAGGCCGGCCGCTCAGCTCTTCTCTCCTGCAGGACCTTACCTGTTCCTCTGTCCAGCGCTATACAGTCTTCCCGCTCCGGCTTCTTCCCGCTCCGGCTTCTTCCCGCGTCGGCTTCTGTGACAGCCGGGTGCCCACTGCGCATGTGCGAGAAGCACTGCGCTTTGTGAATGGTCCGGCGACTTCAGGGACACATGACAGGTCCCAGAAGACGCCGGGCCATTCACAAAGCGCAGCTCTTCTCGCGCATGCGCAGTGGGCACCCGGCTGTCACAGAAGCCGACGCGGGAAGAAGCCAGCGTGCCAACACTAAAGAAAGGACAACTTCAGGTACCCCCGCTCCCCCTCCCTCCCTAAAGGTCTGCAGTCTCTTGGTCATCTCCTGTACTGTCTGCAGTCTCTGGTCATCTGTACTATGTCCGCAGTCCCTGGCATTTTCCACGTACTATGTCCGCAGTCTCTGGTCATCTCCTGTACTGTGTCCGCAGTCTCTGACCATCTCCTGTACTATGTCCGCAGTCTCTGACCATCTCCTGTACTATGTCCGCAGTCTCTGGTTATCTCCTGTACTATGTCCGCAGTCTCTGGTTATCTCCTGTACTGTCCGCAGTCTGCAGTCTCTGGTCATCCCCTGTACTGTGTCCGCACTCTCTGGTCATCTCCTGTACTGTCTGCAGTCTCTGGTCATCCCCTGTACTGTGTCCACAGTCTCTGGTCATCTCCTGTACTATGTCCGCAGTCTCTGGTCATCTGTACTATGTCCGCAGTCCCTGGCATTTTCCATGTACTATGCCCGCAGTCTCTGGTCATCTCCTGTACTATGTCCGCAGTCTCTGGTCATCTCCTGTACTGTGCCCGCAGTCTCTGGTCATCTCCTGTACTATGTCCGCAGTCTCTGGTCATCCCCTGTACTGTGTCCGCAGCCTCTGGTCATTCCCTTTACTATGTCCGCAGTCTCTGGTCATCTCCTGTACTATGTCCGCAGCCTCTGGTCATCCCCTGTACTATGTCCGCAGCCTCTGGTCATCCCCTGTACTGTGTCCGCAGTCTCTGGTCATCTCCTGTACTGTGTCCGCAGCCTCTGGTCATCCCCTGTACTGTGTCCGCAGTCTCTGGTCATCTCCTGTACTGTGTCCGCAGCCTCTGGTCATCCCCTGTACTGTGTCCGCAGTCTCTGGTCATCTCCTGTACTGTGTCCGCAGTCTCTGGTCATCTCCAGTACTATGTCCGCAGTCTCTGGTCATCCCCTGTACTATGTCCGCAGTCTCTGATCATCTCCTGTACTATGTCCGCAGTCTCTGGTCATCTCCTGTATTATGTCCGCAGTCTCTGGTCATCTCCTGTACTGTGTCCGCAGTCTCTGGTCATCTCCTGTACTATGTCCGCAGTCTCTGGTCATCTCCTGCACTGTGTCCGCAGTCTCTGGTCATCCCCTGTACTGTGTCCGCAGTCTCTGGTCATTCCCTTACTATGTCCGCAGTCTCTGGTCATCTCCTGTACTATGTCCGCAGCCTCTGGTCATCCCCTGTACTATGTCCGCAGCCTCTGGTCATCCCCTGTACTGTGTCCGCAGTCTCTGGTCATCTCCTGTACTGTGTCCGCAGTCTCTGGTCATCCCCTGTACTGTGTCCGCAGTCTCTGGTCATCTCCTGTACATGGTCTGCAGTCCATTGGTTCAGAATAATTTTTTTCTTGCTTTTCACCTCTAAAACCTAGATGTGTCTTATGGAGCACGAAATTCGGTTCTTCAAAAGCATTTAACAGGTAAAATTGCCCAACGTTACCCTTAACCCAATGAATTATGATCTCTTCTTCATATCTTCTGTTAAACTTAATTTATTTATTTATTTTTGTCTATCCTATTATGCCTAGATGATATTTGATGCCCATTATATCCTCTACAACTGTTTTGGACGTGTAGGCCAATTTAGATCTTTTTTAGGTCATTTTCTCCTAGCTCCGTGAGCTTTCACATCCAGGGTGAGCCATTGAGTCCCATATATATATAGTCATGATCTACAGGACAGGTGAGTTCTAGTTCTGTAAAAACATGGCAAAAATATATATATATAGTATTAACCTCCTGGCTCGTTCTGCCACTGCTCAGGCCTCAAGCTAAGCCCTTTTTGGCTGGTTTCTCAGACTTTTACACAGCACTTCTGTGTCCACTTGACCCTGAGTTAGAGGCTTTGCACCTCCCAAGACTCTTTGAAGCCTCCAAACTTTCTCAGACTCTTACACAGCACCCACTTCGTCCACTTGCAACCTCTGCACCTTTTTCGCAACTCCCTGATGCTTTTTTCCACACCCTACAGACAGCCTCTTGATTTGAAAGGCTGTGTGCACCTGCACACACAGACTGCTGGTCTCCAGTAAGACCAAGGGTTAGAGGCTTCATCCTTTCCAAGACTCTTTGAAGCCTGAAAACTCTAGAACCCAATCCAGGAGTAACGAAACCTGGAGAAAATTGCAAAAGAGGGACCCGGAGTTAGAGGCTTTGCTCCTCCCAAGACTCTTTGAAGCCTCCAAACTCTAGAATCCATACAGAGTTACCAAACCTGGAGAATACTGCAAAACAGGGACCTAGGGTTAGCAGTTTTGTTCCTCCAAAGACTCTTTGAAGCCTTCAAACTCCAAACCTGGAGAAAATTGCAAAAGAAGGACCTGGAGTTAGAGGCTTTGCTCTTCCTAAGACTCTTTGAAGCCTCCAAACTCTAGAACCCATGCCAGAGTTAGCAAACCTGGAGAATACTGGAAAACAGGGACCCAGAGTTAGCAGTTTTGTTCCGCCAAAGACTCTTTGAAGCCTCCAAACTCTACAATCCAGAAGTTACCAATCCTGGAGAAAATGGCAAAACACGGACCCTGGGTTAGAGGCTTTGTTCTGCCAAAGACTCTTTGAAGCCTCCAGACAGACTCAATCCAGGATTTACCAAATCTGGAGAAAACAACAACACAGTTTTCACCATTCAGAAGTGATATTTGAGAGCCTCTGTGAGAACTCTGTGGGATCTATAATCCTACTAAACCAGTGGCAGGGTACAGCACTGTCACAAGATATATATATATATATATTAAAAAAAAAATATATAAATATATATATTTATATATTTATTTATTTTTTTTTATTATTATTAAGTTCCCTGAATCTCAGCTTTTAGATAAATGCCATATGTGGGAACATTTAGATCTGTGAAGACCATTAGTACTGCTTTCACGTAAAGCATCTTGTTTTAATTGTTTAGCGGACCTTTTTATATATTAAATTGAAAGCTTTCAACCAAAGCAAAAGGCATTCAATCCCTGTCAGAATTCTCTGCAATCCTTCAGAGAGGGACACAATTAAAGAGCGATAAAGCAAATTAATTGACTTTATGGACAATTAAGGCCGTTACCCCTGTTGTTGCTGGACATATGCGTGGAGGTGGCAGCCTTTTGTTGTCTCTTTATGACAACGCGCGATGCGGTAAAATGAAGCACCGTCGATCCGGCGCTGGACTGCTCCTTCAATTTGCTACCGTGGTTAAATCACTCCATTGTGGATTGCACAATCTGGCCTGGTAATAGGTCAGTGCTTTATTTCTGTAACGATAATTCTATCTGACAGAAAGGACGAATTCATAGATTCATTGTCACTCTCGCACCCCAGAGACTGAAAACTTTACTTTGTCTATTATCTTTCTCGGTCCCCGGCACAGTTTGGGAGAGATGAGCTTGGCGCTGAGAGCGATCGTGCAGCCATTTTGTAATGCGTTATTAATAGCCTTTACAGGGAAAGGCGTAGAAAGTGTTCAGAACTGGAACTTTAATAGAAAAAAATGGAAATAATTATCTCTCAGGTGCCAGCAAATGGTACTTTATTTTATAGACTTCTATATTTAAATCTAAACTCCAGGCAATTATAAAATGCCCAATAAATGCAGCCCTATATTCATTACTATATGAATTACCATTATTATTATTATTTTGTTTGTTTGTTCATTTTCTTTGCAAGCAGTGTAAGCACCTAAGTTTGAATTGGCATCAGCTTCCTGCAATCCCTATAAAGTAGAACTCAAACTGGGAGAGGGAAGGGCAGGACCAGGGGTGGACTGACAACTCATGGGGCCCCCGGGCAATAGGGGATCATGGGGCCCCTGTGTCCTTGCCCAAACTCAAAAAAGCCTATGAAAAAGGTACCAGGGGCATCTCATGGGCATTGGTTCTGACGAAGCTGAGTGAGATACGCCCATCGGCGAAACGAGTTGACGTCATACGTCAGATACGTCACTTCCGGTCATGAGCATTGGTGTTATGCACACCGACCTACAAGGAGGCGGCCATCTTCACATGCCATGAGTCATGCAAGGCTGTACAGGTGCCATGGAGAGAACGGAACCCGCGAGATGTCGGCTGATGTAAGCGGTTGTTCCCTGGATCAATACGGCAGTACATGTGAAGGACATTTCCATTATTTACTACCCATGGCACAGGTGGTGAGTGGACTGTTACAAGGCTAACGAAGAAGGTTTCTTGTTACTCTCTATATATTTCAGCAGGAGTACCCAGATTGATTGTCCTTATATCATTTGTCTTATTTCAGGATTGGGACATTATGATGCATTACCTAGATCCAAGGCATACAGCATATATTGCAACAAACGGAAGACCCATTGGGCCTCACTCCATCACGTATGTTAAAGTGGTTTATAGTCCACACGTTGTGGTGAAGAAACCATATAAAGCAGGGCTCTGCTATCTACATCTATTATTCCATCAAGGACATCAACAGGGACTCCTCCATTTATAAGAATTTTTGCAACTATTTGCATCTACCAAGGGTAGATGGGCCCCAATCACATGTGCCTCAATAGGATTGTACTGCATGAATTTATATTCATATTATTGGGGTATAGCCCCCCTTTTGTGTACTTTTTTACCCACATTGCCTTGAATAGGCTAAGGGTTATGTCTCTCTCCCACATGGCAACTGTATTACCTATTATGCATAGCATGTGATAATTACATATTATTATATATATGGTACAATTTTTTGAAATACCTCCCACAGGGAGTGTAACCTATGTGCAGTGCTGCAAATGCTTTAGACAAGGTTTGTCATTGTCTCTGCAGCACATATATATCCAGACCGGTCTTGATGTGGTTTTAAATGGTTTTAGGTCTGTGTGTATTGTCTCATACTGAGGTGATGGTAAACCAGGGCGATTGCCCGATTGTCTATCATGTTTAATAAAGCATAATTTTTGGGAAATTTTTCCGAGTATCGCATTCTGTCCATAATGTAGCCGCTTTCTTGTGAATCTCTTTTCACAATTTCTTTGTTGGTCTGCATATTTTTTGGCTACTGGATGGAAGCCATATATTGGGTGATACAGCAATATATATTTGAACCTCTAAACCCTATTCTTTATTATTTGCATCTCATGGGGCCCTCTACTGACCCCAGGCCCTCGGGCAGTTTCCAAATGGTCAGTCCGCCCCTGGGCAGGACCAAGAGAAAATCAGTTGTGATGCAGTGCTCATGTGCAGGGCCGGTGCGAGACTATTTTGCGTCCTAAGCAAGACCAGCTATTTGCGCACACCCTTAAAAATAAGTAAATAAATAATAAAAAATGTTAAACGTAGAAAATATTAAATCAACAAAACATGAAACTGCTAAATTTCTTTGAATGTGCAATAATAAGTGTCATTAGATGCCACCAAAAGCTGATATCAAAATCAGTGTCCCAGACGGACTGTGTCTGTGGCTGGCAGTGGCAGGGTGACAGTTGCAGTGAGTGGAGGATGATGAATCCACACTCTGACAGATCCCAGGCTGGAATTGCCCAGGCAATGGGGGGAGGTAAAAGCAGGCAGCTGAACTGAGCGATCCCACATGCTGACAGATCCAACACAATACACCACCATCAACACTGACACAGATCAGCAGGCCAAGCAGGCACTAGAAGTGCAGGCTGTGGGATCATGATCAGTGGCGTCCCGAGGCAGGTGCGGGGGATGCGCTCCACGAAAAGGTAAGTTGTAAAGAAAGCCGACGATCACCGCAGGATGGATCGGATCTGCGGATTGGGGGCATAATGGATCGGAGTCCAATCCATTATGCTCAATCCGCAGATCGATCCATTCTGTGGGGATCATCAGATGGGGTGTCACCAAGTGTTATCGCACCGGCCGACACCAACCCTAGGGACGCCCCTGATCATGATGATGTCATCACTCACTGACACATTGCACATGTGATGGATAGCCAGCCAGCCGGGTCACACTCACACAGACACGGGACATCAAAGTCAGATATTACCTTCTTCCGCAGGCGCAGCTCCTCCTCCGCTGATGAATGGGAGGGGAAGAGCTGGAACTCCACAGTGATCAGCAGCCACCAGCCGGCTTGCAGTAAGGGACTGAGTCTGAGAGGAACACTGGAAGGAGAGGCAGCTCAGCTGCTACACTGGCCCCAGACACCCAGCATCTTCCTCTCTCCTTTCTTCCTCCCCTCTGCTGCCCCTCCTCTCAGCTGGAGGATCATTCAT